TACTTTCGCTCTCATCAGAGGTACAAGAAATAATGGATGTTTTCAGAGCTATTCTTTTCTAGATCTGGCAGCATGGTTTGGAGCCATTTCTGTAGCTGTCGAGCCCCAGTGTATAGTAGACACATTCACAACTAAAAGAGTCTATGACTGTGGTTCACCAACATGGAGAGTGGATTGGCAAGAGGATTTAAGAAACCCTGGGGAATGTTGTTTACTTTGAAAAAAAAAAGGGGGGGGGGAGTGGGGAGAGAGAGAGAGAGAGAGAGAGAGGTTGAAATGCTCACTCATTAAGGAGCTAGAGTAGCAAGTTGGATCAATGCCCATCAGAAGGCAATTTCCCGTTTAAATGTGAAAATTATTAGCATCAATAAGATTATTCTATACATTTTCCTGCCTCCATCCACAATCCCTATGTATGCAAAGGTGGTTATTAGCTTCCTATACTGCCAGACCTGTGCAGCCACATTAATAAATAACAGAATAACACTCAGTTTGAATGGCTTACAAAACATTGATGCACGAAATCCCAAAGGGCCAAAGTGTACTTGAGCCCTGGTATGCATTTTTTTCCTCCAGAATGTGAAATAAGAATTCATTGTAGTCTAAGCTATATGGATGCTCCATTACATTTTAATATTTTGCAGACATAGGTAAATTATGCTCTTCGTTCCAGTCAGTTAATAATTTTACCCAGAGTAGCCAGAAACATATTCAATCATACTTTATTATTTCTCTTTTGCTAAAAAAGCATTCTGCACTACTCATGGACAGGCCAAGTACCCCCCCCCCCCACACACACACACCCATGATTTGTCCTTAATAAAACATTATTATCTTTTGGCATCCTCCTGCACTAGGGGAAATACAAAGTCACATGTGGGGAGGTTCTAAACACCAGACAGATGTGGTCCTTGGAGGGCAATTTTCATCCTCTACGGAGGCATTGCAGACTCTGCCCATTAGCATAGTCCTGGGGAGCTCAAGGTGGGACACTCGGGGGGCTGCGGATTCTACCTGAACACAGAAGTCAGCAATTCCTCCCCGAGGTGAGAGTGTGCGGGTTCACCCACAGGTGCACTAAAATACCTGGGACGAAAAGTAACAATTGCAGTATTTTATGTTGGAATGCACCCTACAGATGGTGACATTGTGTGTGGTTGAAGGGAAGAAAGGAAGGCAGTTTCCAGAGACCCCCTCAACACCTACCATTTGGCACAGAGTATGGAAGGCTGAAGAAAACAGGGCGTTTTGCCTCTGCTGAAACAGCTGGGAAACAGATGGAAGCCGAAGCGAAATCTGCCAAGAGGCTCGTCCACAGCTCCCACTCATTTTCCATCAAAGAATAGTCAGTCAGGTGATAATGGCGGTGGGTGGAAGGGGAAAAGGGAAACCTTAGTACCAGCAAATGATTGGCTTTAGAAACTGTAAAACAAAAATCATGCAAAAAATATCAAAATTGTGGGAAATCTCAGTCCAGAAGTGCAATTCCAGGGAGTGTGTTTTTAATAAAAGAGTGGAAGTATTGTGGGTGAAAACCACAACAGAATGGCGAAGGCGAGGATGCAAGTGTGTGCTGATGAATGCCACTGTGTGGCTTCAGCTACAGGGAGTCTCTCCCTTAGGTGACAATGTCAAAAACACCCACCCACCTACACTCTGTCATGTTCATTAGAGCATCATGGCTGCTTCTGTGATGACGGCCATTTCTGTCCCTGGATGTCACCCTGTGAGCCATTTCAGCTTGGAATTCAAGCATGTGCTAAACTGTGTATTTCAACATTGACTGGCAGATTGATTTTTGCTTCAGTGCTGTCACTGCATATATAATCTTCCTGTTGTGTATTTCCAGTTACAGTGGATGTGCATATGGATCCCTTCCATGGGACTGTCCTTCCAAACACGGGGCCATGTCGTGTGTGTGTGTGTGTGTGTGTGTGTGTATACATGCTGTCTACAAAGTGCTCTGAATCTTGCAAAAGTCAGAGGGGATCCATTTCAAAGAAACACAAATAAATACAAGGGAATAGGCTTTCTTCAATGTGAATTTGTTCATTCATGCTTACATAAGGGAATGTGCTAACCATGAATCATTCAAATTGCATTGCTCATGAGAAAAAATTCACTGGCTTTGCTGTCAGTTTCCAGAGTGGTTTGACTCAAGGGAAGAGCTCCTTGTCCCCACACAGAGAATAATCAGCCACAGATTGCAGGCCCAGGGTGGCTCCAAGTTGGCACAAATCCTTTTGATTCACGTGAGAACACGAATGCTTGTGAGAGGGGCTTGTGATCTGAATGTTCTGAGCAGGACTGACCTTGTTGTCTGCCAGAGAGACCAAGCAAAAGTTAAAAAGACAAGTCATCAAGGAAGTTTTGCTTACACACTGCCAGGAAGGCTAAATGATCTTCCAGGGCGGAAGTTGACAAATCTATGGCTCAAGAAATGTGGGTAAGAGACTGTGGCTTCCACTTACAGCCTGGTAGCTCAGCCTTGTGGCAGTACCACCTACCTGACAGTCACATGTCATCTGTGACATAATTCACCTGGTCCCTGCGTCTCCTTGTGAAGTGCCAGCCACCTGTGTTTGAGGGATCACAAAATGCTGTTGTGCTGGCCAGAGGCGGGCAGTCAGAAAACAAGCCCAACAATGCAGCCTGTGAATGAGGGGGAGCTGTGGACAGTGCCAATGCTGCAGTCAGTGAGACCAACACTGTGATCCCACGAAGAGAGGAAAAAACAGCCAGTGCGCTGAGAGGTTGATGCAAGCCCGCTGCTGCTGCTGCAGCTCTGAGACCCAGGACGCTTTCCGGTCTGCTCACTCAGGTTCTGGCACAAGGCAGAACCAGCGTGTTTACATTACTGTGCCTCGTCTACTGGGTTTCCATGATGCAGTGTCTTCTTCACGTAGACTTCCCCCAAGCTGACAGGAAGGAAAGGAGTTAGTCCAAGAAATAATAATTTTTTGTACTTCTTGGAATAATTAACTTCACCAGATGGAAAAGCAAACAAATGTGGTTGAAGAGATCATTTAGAAGGCATAGCATTTTACATTTGTCATTTTTTTTTTAAAAGCTAATCTTCAACAAAGGCTTCACCTTAATTTTTCTATATCGTTTCTCACCTTTGGGCTTGCGGAAGGGTTGCGTGTCTGTCCACCTGATAAAGATGGTTGTATCCAAGCTGAAAGATGATTATAAATCAGAAATAAATGTGCCCTTTAACTTGACTATGTTGGCATTTCCCTGAGGATAAGTTAGACATGACTTACTAGAGCTGAATGTCATTACTTTTTACCTGGTATATGTGTATAGTTTTTTTCTCCATGATAGGCACACATTTTATTCTTAAGAATGTCTCCTATCCCACATCTCAGGGATATACTGCATGGTAAGGAGGTCTTGAACTCTTAAGAAGAGAGATGGAATGATATCTCCAAATGATTATTGTTACTTTTTAAAGCTTTAAAAAAAGATTTATTTATTTTAAATGCAGTATTAAAGAGAGAGGGGGAGAGAAAGAGACAGAAAGAGAGATCTTATACCCACTGGTTCACCCCACAAATGACTACAACTGAAGTTGGGCCAGGCTGAAGCTTGGAGCTTGGAACTCCATCCAGCTCTCCCACATGGGTGGCAGGGCCCAAGTGTTGGGCCATCATCTGATGCTTTTCCAGTTGCACTAGCAGGGAGCTGTATTGGATTTGAAGCAGACAGGATTTAGCTGGGTACTCCTGGGATGCAGATGTCATAGGCAGTGGCTCAAACTGCTGCTCCACAATGCTGGACCCTATTTTATATATACACATATATATTATATATACATTTATTTATTTATATATACATTTATTTATATATATATTTATTTATATATGTATTTATATATATAAAAATTTTCTTTATTTGGCTTCAGGATCACAATCCTCCTGGTTCCTTCCTTTTTCTTTTTTTAAGTTTATTTGCTTATTTGTTTTTTTATGTGATATTTTATAAGATTTAGTACTGTTAGCTAGCTGGTTAGGGCATTATGCATCTTATATTTATTTTATGTGATGAGAAATATTTTAAAATTACATTCATATTTTAAGACACGTGATCACAATTTTACTTATGTATTCCACTTTGGAGTAAGTACGATATTAAATGGACAAAAGCATTGCTTTTGCCCCAAGGAGATCATATCTAACTAGAAATCAAAAAGCCAGTAAGTACACACTTAGTTTGAGCTTGGACTTCTATTGTCCATTTGCTAAACACTTGGGTTGTGGAAAGGTTCATATACCAAGTTGTACTTTTTTTCTTTTTTTAAGAATGATTCTGTTTAAGGGGCTGTTGTTGTGCTGCAACCAGTCAAGCCTCAACTTGCATCATAGGCATCATCTTGGAGAGCCAGCTCAATTCTAGGCTCTTCTGCTTCCCAACAAGCTCCCTGCTAATGCTCTTGGGAAAGTAGCAGAAGGATCCAGATGGAGTTCCTGGCTCTTGGCTTTGGTTGACCCAACCCTGGGCCTTTGTGGTCATTTGGGGAGTGAACCAGTGGATGGAGAATCAATCTCTCTCTCTCTCTCTCTCTCTCTCTCCCTTTATCACTTGCTCTGCCTTTCAAATAAATAAATAATGCTTAAAAAATGGAAAATCACTCTGTTTATACTTAGACCTCAAGGATGTGTGTTAAGAACTTACTAAATTTCATATCTAAAATTGTCTTCTAGACAGAATTTGGTCCATTTTATTATAATATCATCTTATGAGTGGTTAAATGTGGCTCATGTTTTGTAAGGAGAAAATTTGACACATCTCCAATTAGGTCATCAGTTGCTTGAAGGCAGATTGGAAAACCAAGGAATGTGTTGTGCATGGTGGAAGTGAGAGGATTTTCCTGCCTCTGCTCTCCATTTGTCCCAAGACCAGCATAGCACCTGGGAAAGCAATAACTCAGCCACAATGAATACAGTAAAGTACATGATTGCATGTATTTGATTGAATGGAACTATTTTTTTTTTCAGATTCCCAGGAAGGAAATTACAAGTCTGAAGTCAACAGCAAACCCAGGAAGGAAAGGACAGCATTTACCAAAGAGCAAATCCGAGAACTAGAAGCAGAATTTGCCCATCACAACTATCTGACTAGACTGAGGAGATACGAGATAGCAGTGAATCTGGATCTCACCGAAAGACAGGTAAAGCTGGGCATCATTTTTATTGCTTTGGTTCAATAACCCTCTTGTGCCATTTTTGTAATATCATGGTTCTTAATTATCAAAAGGAAGACAGGTGTACTATTTCATGATTAAGTTTTTGCCAAGCATAATGAAAAAAATTAAAAATCAGTGAGTGATTCTATGGGGAAAAAAACCCTACATTTATTGAGCTTAAAGAAGAATTCTGTGTTCTTCAATAATGTTCTTCCTGCATTTGGCGGTGGTGGTGGTGATGGGGTGTGTGAAAATGTTTATTTGACATAAAGATGGAATGTGGTGAGGAATTTTGTATCCTTTCAAAGTCTCCTATTTGGCATGTTAGAAAGTTGGCAACCCTTGAGTAGTTTCCTGTATTGGTCAGAATAGAGTATGTTATGTTGTGGTAACACATTAGCTTCTGAGCCTCAGTGCTCATTATTTGCTCACTCTCCATTCTGAGTCTCCTAAGTTCAGGCTTCCAGATAATCACTCTCTGAGTGGTGGCTCTCTGGCATCTCCACATTCGGTGTCCTTGGGAACCGCGGGAGGTGAGAAGGCATTGCAAGTTCACACACTGGCCCTTGAATGCTTGCATGGGTAATGACCCGTGTTACTTCCATTTAGTGTTTCAGGTTCAGAAATCGTCAGATGGTTCAGCTTAGAGGAAATGATGGGACACGGGGCACGTAGACCATTCATGAATATTTTTGTCCCATTACTCCAAATGTTTTTGAAATTGTGCTGGTCTTGGTAATGCAAAATTCTGCTACTAACTCAGAGAACACTTTGGAATTATTAAAAATTTTCACATCTCAAATAGTAAGACCTAAAGAGTACTTTTATGTTAATTTTGTATTAATCACTTCTTAGATCCCCTTCTTGAATTTTATTTGGATGACAAATGGTCACCTCTTATAGTGACCCAGCGCACTCCTTGTTAGGGCTGTGACTTGCCCTGGGAGAATCTAGCCTACTGACGGTTACCAGTTGTTAAGCGTTAGAAAAACATTCCTGAAAGGCAAATGCAAACATCTTTATGGACAGTGCAGTTATGATTGGCACTGTGAGGGCTGGAGTCTCATTTCCTCTTTCACTGTGCACACCTCCTCCGGGGTCCCACTGGAACCAAGGAAATATCAACAGGGTGTGGACACACGAATGCATATCTTAGGCAAGCAAGCTGCTTCATCCAATTTCTTAAATCATCTTCTTTCCTTCTGTTAATTTTACATCTCAGCCCTGGTGGGTTATTTCTGGGTGGGGAAAATACATACAGGAACACTTTCATGTGGTTTTATACATTGCCAGTTTGTGTTTTATTAAATATTATGACTAGTAGCTAACTTATGGAGCACAACATTTCCTTCCCTTGAACTTCACAAAGTCCTCCCTATAAGTGTACAGTTTCTGGCATGCAGGAAACCTATTCCAAAATCTACATCATCAGATAATAGTTTCACTATGCTTTCATTTCTAAAAAATTGTTTACTTAAAAATTTATATTCTTATTTGAGAGGCAGAGAGAAGGAGAGGGGGCATTTGTTTTGTTACTTTTTAATTTCTAAAAATTTAATATTTATTTACTTATTTGAGAGACAGAGAGTGAGAGAGAGAGGGGATACAACTATTGCTTGCTCACACTCCAAATGTACACGATGATCCCTGGCTGGGGGCTGAAGCTGGGAGCCAAGAATCCAATCCAGGTCTCCCTTGTGAGTAATAGGAACTCGCTTACTGAGGCCACCACAGTGGCATCCCAGGATCTGTGTTAACAGGAAGCTGGAGCCAGGAGCAGAGCTGAACCCAACCTGGAATGCAAGTGTCTTAACCAACATCATAACTGCTAGACTACAGCCTATCCTGTGTTTTGTTCTTATTTAATTATTTCTTTAACTGAGGACAGAACAATAGGCAGGGGGAACTACAAATTTCTGTCATTATAGAGGGGTAGTGAACTCCAGGAAAGGTAACTATGTTTTATATAATGCATGAAGGAAGTCAGAAATTGGAGTTTTGCTTCCAGTGTTCACTGCCTTCAGTGAAGGACAAAGTAGAAACTCCGTGTTTACTAATCTGGGGATGATCTATGGTTTTCCCCAACTATCTATTCATTGAACAGAGGTTTCACTTTGGTCTGAGCATAATTTCTTTTGAAAAGTAATTCTATAAGCCTAGTTTGAGAGGTTTTGAGGCGTTTGGATATTTTTTTCTTTTTTTTCCTAAACGACTTGACATGCTTTAAAAATAATAATATGTTAAAATCATATATCTACATATGTACACATATGTGCACACACAATTTTATTCACTTTTTTGAAGTCCCTTTTCAATATCATGTCACTAAGCCAATGCTGTATAACAAAACACTCTAAACATTGCTGGATTTTAATGGGTACAGAGCTTTAATTCACTCACAATCTTGTGTGTCAGAGTTGGACTGGAATTACTTGGCCAGTTTTATTGCCAGCAGTACCTGGCTTCCTCATGAATCTGCTCTTGGCTGGTGGATTGACTATGAGCTGGTTGGGCCTCCGCTAAAACAATGTGTTTCTGTTGCGTGTGGTTCCATCTTCTAACAGGATAGCCAGGAATCCCAGTCCTCAAGTGGTTGTAGAAGCATTTCCAGGGGCACTGAAAGGGAAAGCTGCAACATACAATGGTTTCTCAGGTCTTCACTTGAATCATATTTGCTAATTTAATTTCATTGTCCAGAGAAAGTCACACGGCCAAACTCAGTGTGGACAGGAGGAGAAGATTATGTCATTGCCAGTCGTTCCTATAATAATCTAAGCACAGCCTTGGTGGAAAAAAAAACAGCAAAACACTTGAGAAATAATTATGTTTTCAAAGAATTGAACAGTTGATATTATGCAGATTATATTTATTCCACGAATATTTAGGTGCAGTTTTGCAAGATAATATGGAAAGGAGATGGATGTGTATGGAATGTAATTCCTAATTAAAATTAAGACTATAAGGGCTTCTCAGAAAGAATTGAATTGTTATGCAAAAATCTGATTAGAATTCTGAGATTTGCCATTTAGAATTGTGCATTGTTAGGCAAGTGACAATCTTTTCAAGACACAGCATGGAGATTCAAATTGTATGCTCTTTCTTTTCTTTAGAATTCTATTCATAATGCATATGAAAGAATATTTAGCATGAAGTACAAAACTTAATCATCAATCACAGGAGGAAAATATTTGATATATGTGTCAACTAATTATTTTATACCATAAATATACATTGAGCCAGGTGTTAGATATAAAATATTGTTAAAATAAGCTAGACAAGCTGAATGCACAGAAGAGGCAAAAACTAGACTAGTAACAACACTGTGGTCAGCACTGAATGTCACAAGAGAAGAATGACAGGATCATATTAGAATATGTTCCTGGTTTCATCAAATGTTAATTTTATTCTTAGCCTTCTGCACCTATACAGCATCTTAAGATTCTAAAAGCTTTATTTTTTGTTTTCTGGGCTGAATTTTACTGTGCTGAACTTATCAGAAGAAATATTGCAGATTTCAACCATCAATTTTTCTAATATTAGTGATCCCAAGATGTATTTCTCCAAAATGCCAGGGCTTTCACCCTAGTAAAATATTTTCAAATTATTTTCTGAAGATTATGCTCTTAAAGCTATAGACATAGAGTTAGTTATACACAGAATCCTACCTTCTTAAACTGGGAAGCTGCCTGTCTTAGTTCATTGGGGTTGCCAGAACAAAATCCGATAGACTGGGTGGTTTACAGACAGCATGAACTTGTTGCTCCCAGCTGAAGGCAGAGTTCCGGTTTGGTGAGTGCCTGCTTCTTCCTGGACAGCAACCGTCTCGCAGGGGTGAGAGGTTTGGCTAAGCTCTCTGGGGCCTGTTCTACAAGGCACCCAGCCCAATCTTGAGAGCTCTGCCCACATGAGCTAATCACTCCCCAAATCCTCATTTTTTTCAAAAATAATTTTTTGAAAGGCAGAATGATAAAGAGAAAGAGAGAGAGAAGTGAAGTGTGTGTGTGTGTGAGAGAGAGAGATAGGGTGACCTTCCATCTGCTGGTTCACTCCCCAGATGATTGCAACTGCCCCAGACTAGTCCAGACTGAAGCCAGGAGTCCAGGACTCCATTTAGGTCTCTTCTGGGGCAGGGCCCAAGAACTTGGCCATCTTCTTCTGCTTTCCCAGGCACTTCAGCAGGGAGCTGCATTGGAAGTAGGAGCTGCATTGGAAGTAGAGCAGCTGGGACTTGAAGCAGAGCTCATATGGGATGGCAGTGTTGCAGGCAGAGGCTTAGCCCACTGCTCCAGTGTGTGGGCCCCAGACCTCCTTTTAATGTGGTCACCTGCAGAGTTAGGATTCTGACATTTGGATTTTGGAAGGTACAAATATTCAAATTACAACATAGCTATTCAATTACTTTGATTTTTCACTAATGCCATACATGCTTAGCATGTAACCCTCATCTTGTTCTTGAGTGATACCGTTTTGTAGGATTTCTACCCATAAAATGTTCTAACTACAGGAAGCAAGATTTCTCTTTCTCTCTCTCTCTCTCTGTCTCTGTAACTCTGACTTTCAAATAAATTAATAAATCTTTAAAAACTCTAACTACATATATGCATCCTTTTCATTTGCATTCTTCAAAGCACACTGTGAAATACTGTAATTTAGTACAGGAACTTACACATACTCACAAAGGAATATTATATCTAACCTCATACTGATCAATGTTTTCCTTCACTTAAATAAGATCCTCTAAATCTAACAGATGCTTGTCTTGACTTTGCCAAAGCTTTTCAAGATTTAAGCACAAAGATAGAAACTGTATCCTGCAAATGGGAAAAACAATAAATGTTAACTCATCTAGCTCCATGGTAGGATTGTTTAAGAGAAATAATTTTCTCTTAAATGACAACTGACTTTAAAATCAGAACTAGACTTTGACATGTTTTTATATATAAACTTTATGTGATTACCTATAAAACATCCATTCCTGTAACTGA